TAATATTACTAAAAGTGGGTAAATTAAATTAATTAATTTTTTACAAAAATTGCAAATAATAACAAACTGAGCTTTAATACCTTTCTTGCGGGCGTTAAAAGTAAACTTGCAGAGCAGACAAAAATACTATCTATGATAATAAATTTAAGCTAAGAAATAATCATACAAAAACTATATTGATTAGTACAGTTGATTTTCCTAATTCAGATGTTGTAGGAAAAATGTGCTAAAAATTTGACCGTACGGGTACTAGGGTTATTTCATGTTTTGACACCCTGCACTGTCCGAAAATTGTAGTTTTTTTTTTGGCATAAAAGATACACAAAACCTGTATGGGATTTTTTCATAGGGAATTTGTATAACGAACCTTTTTTTTAACGGAACCGTCAATTCGTTATAGAGTGTGTTGACTGTATATACACTTATTAACTAATTTAATTTTGTTATTTATTCAAATAAAAATAAAAAAAAATAGGTATAGAAATATTGAAAGACCGAAAGTATTGCTCATTTTAAAACCTTTTGTTCATTATTCAAATAAATTGAAGCTTTATTTGCTAAAATCGAATCAATAGAGAATTTAAAAGTGTTCACATCCTGCCGAATGGGAATTAATTGTTGATCAAACATTATTAGCATTATTACCGCCGCTTATAGTTTTGATATTTTTACATAAGCAAAATATGCAAATTTATTGAGGTGTGCCGAAATTCAGAATAAATATGCCTTAGGTTATTTGATCTAAACAGAAGCAAATTACTAATGGTACGCCAATGTGTATTACAGTCGACCCTAATAGGTTAGTACGTAAGATAGGAGGTTTCAATGTCATTGCAAATTTAATATAGAAGATAACTTAATAATTGAGCTTCTAACAAAATAATTTTAATAATTGTATTACTTAATTTGTCTATTTCGTAATCCTCTTAAGTATTTATGAAAGTCAATGCTCATTATTGTCCAATCGACGTTTTTATATTAGGTTATTATAGAAGAGGGATTGTCTTGCTTGGATTTTTTCTTGTGATATATGGGAGGCGGTCAGTAGAAACGGGGGAAATCCAAATTTTGGTCAAAATTTATATTATTGGACCACTTGGCTGATCTCGGTCATGTGCACAAAATTAGCTTAATAATTAAAATTAACAAAAATTTTGGATTTCCCCCTTTTCTACTACCGCCTCCCATATGTCAAAGAAAAAAGTCAGAACCATTGCGAGAATTGGAATGAATAATTCTAGGACCATTCCGAAATAAAAGGAAACGATAGTGGCTGCTTCACATGATATGTTAAATTTCTTCCTAATATGAAATTTTTATAGTACAGAACGAAAAGGTAGAACGTTTATTTAGAGTAAATTGTAAATCAAAATTATATTTAATTCAATCGTCTTTTATATGCTTCGTTGCATTACATTTATTTGCAAAGCAACTTACAACTAATTATTCCTTCTCATAAATCCAATCCAAGATCCGGTTCAATACATTAAAACAGGAATTGATCTGCAAAAGTTTGGCCAATTTAATCATTCCAGAAACATTAAGCCCTGTCAATTATATCACGCCATCTTAATCTACAGCTGGTTTTTATGGGGCGCAAGATTGCATCAGTTTTCCACATGCGGTGATCAGAATTTCACCTTAACCTGAATTTTGAATAAAGACAGGATAGTATTTAATGTGGGGCTCGGAATCCGGGATGGATGCTTCAAAGAAATAATCCGGGTAGAGTCAAAAAAGGTCTTTGTTAGAAAAAATATTGTGCTGCTATGTTACAGATCATCATGTTAACGTGAATTGTTTAATTATATTCAAGATCTCACGGAATTTTTTCCGAAAGCTGTTGTGGTTATTTCGGGAAGGCTTATCGAAATAATTTTTTTTTTTAGTTTGGTTTGGCGGATTGTGCAAATAAACTTAGCCTCTAATATACCTATTTAATCAGCTTGTTTTTGAAGTTGTTGGTTTTATAGTTTCATTTCTTTAAAATATAATCTATCAAAAATTTTCTTAATTTCAAATATTACATTTTTATTTCAGAAATGAATAATGAAGTGTCTGTCAACATGCCATATAATGAAACTCCACATAATGGTAAACCTATTAGTATGATGAAAATCTCTCCGAATGAACATCTTCTTGTTACTTACAGTGAAGTTGATAGAACATTTTTCGTGTGGGAGGTTGAAAGTTTTAAAAAAGTAATAGAAAGCAAACGTTTAGAAGTAAATCAAACATTTATAACTTGCAAGAATATAGAGAGTAATATTGTCGATATGTGTATCTCTGATAAAAAGATACTTGTGTATATTGATGATGAATATGAAATCAGTAAGTATAACTGTTTTCTAGTTTTTAATTATTAAATTAGTGATTATTTCAATAATAATTGTTATTATTAGAAATCATCGATATGGACAAAGGACTTCAAGAAATCAAATTGAATTTTGAAATGGAAGTAAAATGTTGTAACTTCAATAAAAAAGGAAAATTGATATTATTTTGTTCTGTCAAAAGAAGCAATAAAAATGATATAAACATTGTTTGTGTTTATACATTTAACATAACACGCGAAAGGTTCAAGTGTCGAAAGTTTTACAGGATGCCTAAAGAAGCAGAGGTATTAGACATATCAAATCATAATAAAATATGGCTGCATTTAAATAGTAATATATATGAATGGAATCTATTGACTAGACATACTATAATTATAGTAAAAAATATAAATGAGGTAATGATAATTTTAAAATTATTATGATCTGTTTAAAGTTATTACTAACATTTTCTAAAATCAATTAAACAGATTAACAATACTAGAGTCGCTTATGATGAAGATTTTACTTGCCTGAAAACGAATGATGAGAAA